ATATATATATATATATATATATATATATATATATATATATATATATATATATATATATATATATATATATATATAATTTATTCAATTAATCTACATATTTATTAAATAATCTATTCAATTATTTTTTTTTACTACTTTAATTTTATTTTATATATTTAATTTTGTAACTTGATTTAATTCATAGGGATAACACCATTTGTGACACTATTTCATTGGGACCTCCCTCAAGCACTAGAGGATGAATATAGAGGCTTCCTAAGTCCTCTAATTGTGTAAGTAATTTAATTATACCTAAATTAATATTTAATTTTTTATTTTCTTAATTCGTGCCGTCTTCGGGATCATCATAATAACATATGTTAATAATTCGTGTGCAGGGACGATTATCTGGATTTCGTGGAACTTTGCTTTAAGAATTTCGGAGACCGCGTTAAGAATTGGATCACATTCAACGAGCCGTTTGTGTTCACAAACGGGGGCTACGATGGGGGATTTCTCGGGACTCTAGCCCCCGGTCGGTGCTCGTTGTGGGGCAATAGCCCCCAGGGCGACGCAGTGAAAGAGCCCTATTTTGTTGCTCATCATATTCTCATTAGCCATGCTGCAGCTGTTAAATTATATAGAACAAAATACAAGGTATATATATATATATATATATATATATATATATATATATATATATATATATATATATATATATATATATATAAATTATAAAAATAATAAAGAATGTTATTTTCTCCCTAGAATTTTTTTTTATGAGGTCATAGATAAAAATATTATTGGTTATGTTGTTATATAGCCAACTCAAAAGGGTCAAATCGGGATAACGATAGTGACTCATTGGTTCGTACCGTATTCGAACAGCAGACTCGATGTTATAGCAGCACAACGAGCCCTCGATTTCGTTTTTGGGTGGTAAGTATAATCTATATGCATTTTATTCACTAATACAATCTATATTTTGTTTTTGTTTTAAATTTAAATGTGGGTTAATAATCTTTTTTTATTATAATTTTGGAAGGTTTATTCATCCAGTAGTATACGGAGAATATCCAAAAACAATGAGACCGATTGCTGGTAGTCGATTGCCACGATTTACGACGGAGCAAAGTGCGTTATTGAAGGGATCGTATGATTTTATAGGACTGAATTATTATACCGGGAACTATGCAGCTCATATTCTAACTCGCAACGGAAACGTTAGCAGCACTTCCGATCAAATGGTTCGTCTCTCAAGTAAGTTTTCGAAAAAAGAAAAAATAAATCCACAAATTTGATTACAATAGTTAAAAGATTAAATCTTATAAAATTCATGTAATTTTTTCTTAATTCTTTGGCAGCTGATATCAATGGTGTGCAGATCGGGGACCCAGTAAGTCGTCATCGGAAAAAAAGACCCGAATTTATTATATATAATTTTTTATGGTATCTTTAATTTTTATTGATAATGTAATTTCTCGATAAAACGAAATTTTCAGACCGGAGTTAGCATATTTTATAGCTACCCGAAAGGACTTCACGATCTTCTAGTCTACACGAAGGAGAAATACAACAACCCTCCGATTTACATTACCGAAAACGGTATGTTTATAAGATTTATTTGTTTAATATAAATTTGTTTTCGAATTTAATTTATATTATTTTTTTAGGTCTCGGCGACGAGAACAATGACACCATGGAACACCTCACTCAAGATCCACAACGAATCGATTTCTACAATCGTCATCTCCATGCTATTCGGAAAGCAATTGCGTAAGTATATTTAACTATAAAATTACATTAAATACTAATACAATTTTCTCACAAATCTAAAATTATACAATGTTATTAATTTATCGAGGTTCGACTTTAATTTGTGATTACAGGGAAGGTGTAAATGTGAAGGGATTTATTGCATGGTCATTTTTGGATAATTTCGAATGGGCCTCGGGATATACACAACGGTTCGGGCTTGTCTACGTGGATTACAAAAACGGGCTCAAAAGAATTCCCAAGAAATCGGCACTTTGGTTTAAGAAGTGCATCCAAAAAATTAAATAAGCGCTAGTTGTAAACGCGCTTTTATTTAACTCTGTTAAGTAAATTACCGGCGTGACCCTTTAATTTGCTGGTAATAAATAAATGTTATGGTGTAGTTCTTTTGGTAATAAATTACTCTTTTCGTTCTTCATTAATTGTCGGTTTTTGGTTTTGCACAAGTATTAATAATTTCAAAATTGTGTCTTGATTTTTAAGAAAAATACATTTAAACTAACCTTGATTATTTAATATTTTTTTGATATGCATGAATCCTGTTAATCTATTTTTGATTTAGTATTTATAGAGCAACAATTTTAGTTGGCTGCACATAAGTTTTTTTGGGAATATTACCAAAATCCACCTGAACTAAGGTTTAATTATTAAAAAGATCCCTCAAATTTTCATAATTATCAGAAAAAAACACTTTTGAGAATAACTGGCCATATTTCTTAAAACAAATTTTGTAATGGTATATAAAGTACCCTCAAGATAGATAAAATTAAGAAAAATCACATAATTACCAAAACCAATAATTAAAATCCCTATTGTTTGTTTCAATCTAACAACGTCCCCTTAGAATTATTTTGTCGAGGAGACAAGTTTTATTTTCCGCTAGCTAGCTAGAATTATTTACATCCCCTCTAGTGCAATTACTCGTGCCGTCGTGCGAGTTTGTACTTATTATATATGTTGTGTCTGCAAAAACTTATTTAAAAATAAAAGTTATGCTTGTAAATTAAGTTAATTTTAAGTATTCATTTTTTAATTTGCTAAAAAAATAACTTAAATAGAAAAGACACAAACATTAATGTTTTACATATTATAGCTTAAAATTGGTATTTTTAAGAGAAATAAAATCAAAAGTTTATTTTCCAAAGACATAAAAATAGATTATATAAGATCATAATATGTTTGTAAAAGCTATTGTAAACGCCATCACTCGTCTATTTGGGTTGCCTTATAAGCTACTTAATTTGCTTGATAGATTTTTCTTTTGTTGTCTTTCTTTCTATTTTTATTGTCAATTTGTAGTTGCTTGCTTTGTAATAATTGGTGTGCATTGTCATATATTTGAAAATTTTGTGATTGGTATACTATATTATATTATATATAAGACCATATGATTTTTAAAAAATATGCATTCTTTGATGGCATTGGTAATTGATAAGCGTTGACTATTATTTTGAAATGTCAACTTGATTTGATCTCAAATCTCAAGACGGTCTTTTATAAATGTAATCATGTGGAATTGTGGAAGGTTATATTTAAATGCCCTCATGGATTGCATAATGACTAGGACCCGTAATTTTGAGCGGGGTAATCGAAGCACGATTGTTCGACTCGATTATACTTGAGTTGAGTCTAATTGTCAGTGAGTTGGGATGATTTTGAGTCATTTTATTAAATTCGACTATTTATGAATCAGTCTGAGTTTACTATAACTCAACCCGAATAATGTCTGCCCGATTAAGTTAATAAGTAAATAGATAATATATTTATTTGTTTACTAATATGGTTCAATATACAGGTTATAAGTTACAACCGTAATAGACAATCTAATTTTGAAACAAGATCGGCTGCAAATTATGTAATTTGTATTGCTTGATATAAGCTCGAGATAAACTCGAAGCCCAAAAAATATATAAGCCGTACTTTAGTCAGCACAAACTCGACTCACATGGCCCGATTACCAGCTCCAATAGTAATAATATAGATATATGTATATTTAATTTGGGTATACACGCGTATAGATTTATATATTTTACACACACTTGCATTTATATTTATTTTTATTATTGTGAGTTAAATGAAAAATAAAAAAAAAATGTAAGTGTATATTATATCATGAATAGATCATGATATTATATTATTTAATTAAATTTGATTTGAGACGCCGGCGTCGTAACTTTACATTAATATTCTCGAATTAGGTGGTGTTTGAAAAAAAAAATTGACTGGTGGAATTTAGAATTATTATTTATCTTTAAAAGTTGTGGATGTTCTCAAATGTGATCAATAATCAACTTTAAGCATTGAATTTATAATTTATATATTTTTGCAAAATAGACATTAATTTTCAAACTATTTTTGTAATATATCTCAAATGTGCTTATATATATTAAAAATGGGATTGGATTAAAATATGGGATTATTTTCTAGACCCCTCACTTCCAAATTATACAAAACTAACTACCAAGTGGATTACACCCTAGGGGAAACCCCCTTCATTTCGAAAATATTTTGATATACCCCCCTGGGCCACCATGAAGTTCCTATAATACCATTTTAAAATCAGTTTTAAACCCTAGTCACTTACATTTCGGTCTCTCTCTTCTTCTCCCAGATTCAAAATCCTGCATACACAAACCTCCCACCGGCGAAATTGCTTCCTGGAGTCATAACTCTCTCTCCGGTGGTCGGAATTCGATGGTTTAACTACCGTTGGATTCCTCTCGTCGAGCTCTTTCTTTTGGTGGTGATTTCATTCAGTTTGGAGAGCAGATCTGTTTCTGCAATTTTTTTTTCATTCGACGACGGTGATCTTGCCGGAGGTGTATTTTGTGTTCCACCACTCGAAATTTGACGGGCTACCAACCGTTGGATTCATCTCGTCGAGATCTATACTTTGATGGTAATTTCGTGTTTTTTATGTTCTCAGATTTATTTCTATAAATTTTTACATTTGTGGGTGCGCGGAACCGTGGGTGGTTATTAGCAGCGCCTAGGGTTTTGGTAGGAGGCGAGGGGGTGAGAGTCACTCTTTGTTTTGATTTAAAGTATGTAGAATTTCCCAACAATAACCTCTCTTTCTCTATCTCTCGATCTCTTAGCGTTTGTTGATTTTTGAGTGTCTTGATGTTTCTTCAAATTTTGTTGATTTGCACTAAAGTGATTTTTTTTTTATTTTGCAATTGCAGCTTAATGAAGCCATTGATCCTTTCCTTGAAGGTGTCAAAAATTTAGTTGAAGTTACATGTCAAGCAGTGTTCAACAAACTGTATACATTATTATACATTAGTATACATTACTGTACATACTAGTACTACACCCGTGCGATGCACGGGGTATTCATCGTAAAACAAATGTTTAATAATAAAAAGGTTCTCAAAATAGTAAGATTAATTGTTGATATGTAATACAAAGAAGTAGAAAATATTAAAAAAAAAAAAAAACTAATTTGTATGGTGTAAAAGATGAAATAAGTCGAAATAAAAGAAAAAACTAAACATCGAATGTTTTAATTTCCGCATAAAAAGAATAGATATATCGTTGGTCCCAAACTTGTATAACCATAAGGACTTATCTCTGTTCAAAACTTGAATTTGATCCATATAATCGGTCTTATTGTGTTTGATACCAACCGCCCTAAATGCATGTAACCCATCCAATACAGTGCATTGACCTGCATATTTTGTACAATGATCATACGGAATAAGTAAAACGTTATCGAAGCAATACCAATATAAAATTTTAAGGACATAAAACTATTCTAACAAATTACCTTCATGAAAAATATTAAGTGGAGTCTATATAAGTAATAACAAAACATATAAGTAATAGAATAAAGGCCATTATTTAATATTATATAAAATTTTATATAATTATCATCATATACATTAAAAAAAATTCTTATATACAAAATTATTAGTAATGTTGGTCGTATCGCCAGATTCCGAGTTGACCATAATCTTAATGTCACTCGACTCTTAACTCTCGAGAATGCGACATAGAACTGTTCGTGGTCAAGTACAACCCTACATGAGAAAGAGTATGTCATTGACTTTTATTGATTGTTGTTGCAAAGGAGACCATATGCGGAAATTGACGTCACTGTAATTTAATAAGTCAATGCAAAGTTGGACGGTATCAAAGTCATTTGAGGAATGAGCACCATATCGCCAACATGTTTACCATAAATGATCTTGCAGTTAAGAATGTGTTTTCCCATATTAATAACCTGAAGTCTGGTTCCATTGGAAAATCCTCTGGCCAAATCAATAGTTATGATGAGCATCGGGAACACATATTTTTAATGTCAACTTATGCGTTGGAATTTCAGAGCATGATATGGTGTTGAGAAACTCGGTGAAATATATCTATATGTTGACATCTGATAATAACTCCTCCTTGCACATACTATCGGAGCTGAAATAAATCTTCTTCTCTCTCCAGTTATGATCGACAAAAAATGATCATTCTCAAAACCGACATTTTCATTAGTCGGTGCAAGAATTGCCCAGCCCTCGAAATACTCAGGAGTGAACAGGTTGCTCATCAGATCGGGATAAACAAACTCGATAAGATCCAAAACAGGATCTGCATATAACAAATCAACATGTCATTGGGGATTTCAATTGTAGCATCACCATCATTGACCTCGCCAGCATCGCCTTTGCTATCCACTCCGCAAATTCTCTTATTTCATCTGCATTGGCGAAAGAGAAGGACGAAAGAGAAGGACGACTAAAGTCTCATGTTATTGTTCAACTTCATAACCTTACATTGTCTCAACAACGGTGTTGAGTTGATTGTACAATGAACATTGTCTTGTCTTGATGCTTTCAACACAACTGGCAGAATTTGCCGAAAATTCTCTTTAAGTACGACAACCTTGCCTAAGAATGGGATCTCTTAATCAAGTATCGATTTCACTGTCTTGTCAAGTGCTTCTAAACAGTACATGTGTTTTATCGATGCCTCATCCCATATGATTAACTTTGCTTTAGACAACAATTCTGCCTGTGAACTTTGTTGTTTAAGCTTTATGTGGAGCTCTCATATACAATTATTGGCAGTCCAAACTCGAATGCGCAATTCGGCCACCGGAAAGTAGATGCGAGCAATGCCACTGAGATGTACGGGGATATTCATCATGAGAGCAATTTTTTATTAGAAAAAATGTCTCGAAATAGTATGAACAAAAATTGATATACTGTACAAAGAAGTAGAAACAGTATACAAAAATTGATCATGTTTGGTTTTAATAATTAAATAAGATAAAATAATTTAAAAAAAATATATCAACAAATGGGATTCCGTATAACAAAAGGCGAGTATACATCCTTGGTCCCAACATACACAAATTAATTATTAAAATTTCAATACAGTGCAAATCAACCTACTAATACAGAATAATCAAGTATATAAGAAATAA